TCATAAAGGACCTATGCACCTCCACTGTGATAGCTGCTTTACATATAGCGAAAAATCCAATTTTCCATGAACGGACAAAGCATATTGATGTGGATTGTCATTTCATTCGTAATGAGATACTCCAAGGCACCATTCAACCATCATATGTTCCGACACAAGAGAAACTTGCCGACATCCTTACAAAAGCCTTGGGACGACATCAATTTCAGACTCTGCTTAACAAGCTGGGCATTCTTAATCCTCATGCTCCACCTTGAGGGGGGTAATAATGGTAATATGGGATATGTTATACGGGTTATGCTATACGGGTTATGCTCTCATGCACAATTCTTGGGATTATTTCATCAATTGGAATAATTAATTTGGCGTACATTTTGTCCATTTTAATTCTCCTTTATTGCAGAATAATGCCAAATCATATCAAGGATATGAGGGAGATAATTTAACCTGTAGTTTAAGATCTGTAGCTGTCATATACTTGTATATAATTACCTATTGATGAATAGAATGGGACACACGATTCTTTTCCATAACTTTTGTTATATTATTTCCATAAACTTTCATAGCACAATCAAGAATACTATATGGACTCCAAAAACTATGAGAAAAAAAAATTAGAGTTACATTATCATAAGAATATGGAACTCAAAGCATAAATTTTATAACAACCCAAATTCTTAGTGCTAGAAATAAGTTATAAGGAGACATCTTTCTATGACCCTACTATTAGATTATTTAATAAATGATATTTGAAGTATTGATGTTGTAGTTATTATTATTTTGTTAATATCGTAGCGCTAGAAAAATTATTGAGATAATAGGACTCAGAGAGCAACTAAGTCCCAACAAAGGAATAAGCTCACCAAGCCACGAGATAAAGAGAGATTAGCATCAATTGTCAGCAAATAAAGAGAAAAAGGAAGAGAAAGAAAGAAATACAATAAGATTAGAAACCCAATCCCTTAGAGCTCATCTCTACTGTTAGCAATGAGATGATCAAGGATGATCAAAGGTACAATTTGAAGATTGCATGAAGACTTTAAATTTTAGCTTGTGATCATGAAGACTTAGGTATCATTGTGTGCTTAAAAGCTTAAAGCTTTTTTTCCCTAAGACAAATAAATTTAAAGTGGCAAGATGTTTTTATAAGTCTAAAAGGTTCAAGCATGTAAGAATTAATCAAGTTTCTATTTAAAAAAAAAAAAACTAGAAATGAAACAGAATAGTTGATTAGTTGGTTTTCATAATCGATTACATAGACTAAATGATTTTTTTTGGAAAGTTGTTTGCTTTTGATTAAATTGATTACAAGTTTTTTTTTTACATAATTACACAAGAGTTGTTTTGTTTTGAAAAAAATATGGTGTTATAGTTTAATTGATTGGGATGTTATTGTTTTAATTTATTAAATTTAGTTGAGAGTTCTTTAACTAATTCTTGAAAAATGTTTTAATAGTTACTATTTTGTTTTAATTAATCAATAAACTCTTATGGATAGAAACACCTTGGTGGTGTTTTTAATTGATTAAAGATCAAATTAACCAATTACAGTTTGTTATAAAAACAAGTCTGGAATGTTTTGGATAATCATTTTAATCGATTACAATTTGGTTTAATTGAGGTATTGTCTTGCTCATGGGCATGACTTGAATTGTGGGTAGTAAAGTTGGTCTTAAACCTCATAGGAATTGAATATGTTGGGTAAGTTTTGAATATCTTGAAGCAAGTAAATTTCTATTATGATTGTTGAATTGTGGATTGTTTGGATGTTATGTAGGTGTATTATTTTTAGTGCTTTTGAATTATAATTTTTAAATGGGTTATGGACAATCATTAGAATTTTTTTATTGACATTTGTGTGTATAAAATCGATTAGAAATATGTTGTTATTTGACCTTAAACCCTTATTGGTTGTATTTTTGTTTACGATGATCGAAAACATTTGGAGGATCCCAATTTTATAAAATTCACAACTATGAATTATGTCATAATGCTTCTTGCTAAGTGTAAGTACAATAGATTAAGCTGTTTCATTATGTCTTAACACTAAGAGCAAGTCATATGGTGCTGAGCATGACAACTTCACAAAGCAACCCCTGCTCTTCATTCTATTGACACTAAGTGAGAGAAGATTGGTGTTGAGTGGGAGAGCCTCAAAGAGCAACTCTTACTCTCTATTCTCTTGATGCTTAGCAAAAAAAGGTTGTCAATGAGAAAAAGAGCGCCAAAGAGAAACCCTTATCCTCTGAAGTCTTGGCACTAAGCGTGGGACATTTTCATTGAGTGTTGAACCCCTAACATGTTGGTTGTGATTAGAAGTGTTTGTTACTAATGTTTGTGATGTAACGCTAAGTGGATTGCTTTATGAGTTGTATGATGAGATTCTACGGTAAATGTTATGAATGATGTGAATGAGAAACTAGCCTATGAAAGGTAGGATCCACCATGTTCTATATCTTGTGAGAGTGTGTATATTTGAGCGAATTCATGCATTATGACATGAAAATATATATTTTGGAGTATGCATATAAGTTTGATTGGGGAAGCCACAAAGAACTATTGAATCTTGCCTTGAGATGTTAATTAGTGTAAAATCTTTGTATGACTTATGTCGATTCCATATGTTGCAATATCCTTGAAAAGTTTGATAACTCCAATGAGCCATGTGTGTCATCCTACTTGAGAGTGATAGTTTCAAATAACTATGATTTGATGATTCATTGACTACATGTTCTCTTGGCTAATTCTATGAAAAATGTTTTCAATGGTACCACATGCATATGAGAGTAAGGTTTAGAAAAACATTGTGTTGTATGAGTATTTGCTAATGGATGTGGGTGCTTTATGAAACATGACATAAATGCTATGATTTGTGTGTAACTACCTAGCTTTCATTTTCATTCAAGAAACATGTTGTGAGATGTATCTGACTTTCTTTGTATAGTGCTAGTGTTATTTTGTTTGTTGAATGTCATTTGCAAGTATGTTTTAGTCATATGTAAACGACGTTACTAAAATAGAGGCATAAACATCATTTTACAATTTTATTTTTAGTTGTATAGTTCTAATAAGTTGTAACATCATGTCTCTTTTGAGTAGTTGTTAACTTGCTAGTTATTTTATTGATTTTTAATTTTGGTCTTTATAACCTTTGGAGAATCGGTTTTTAGCTATACATTAAATTTGATTTCTTGTAAGTTTCAAACAATCAAATATATTATGATGTGACATCTTTTATACTGAAAAAGTTTTGAAATGTACTTTTTTCTTTAATTTAACAAGGTACAAAATAATAATAAATATGTTTGAGAAGAAAATATCAAAGGAATCCTTGCAATTACTCATTCCATTTGGAGTAGAAGGATTAAGATTATGATGAAATCAATAAAAAAAAATTTATACAAATCCCATTTCCTATGTTGATAGCATGTGCAATTTTTTATGAGAGAATTTTAATGTATTTATAATATTTTCAGTAATTTTATTATTATACATTACATAAGCTTAATTTTAATTTTAGATTTGTGGATGTTACAATGGTGAGATTTTGATCCGTTAGGTTTCAGTTGTGCAAATTGAATTCTCCAAGTATCATCATATACATAATTTGAGTCTCTATATCAATTATAACAAATATTTACAATAGTTGGTCATTTTACATGTTTCTAACACATAAATTAATATAACTTAATTATGCTTTTTAATCCCTTACGAGTCAAATGATTATTAAATTAATGTTTTATTTTGTTAATTGACATTAAAAATAATAATGAAAGGGATATAAACACAAATTAAAATCTTAAAAAAGATAAACATAAAAGCAAACAAACTAAATCACTGAAAATTAGTTCGATCTGATTGAGATTTAATATTGTATTCAAACTAAACAAAATTAAATTGCATGATAATTTTATGTTTTATTCAAAAAAACAAACCAAAATGAAAATAACTTATTTGACAACCTACTCCTTAGATGTTTTCATACTTAAAATTACTTGAACCAAAAAATAAAAATAAATATGGTGTGATTTAATTTAATTTTAAATGTATTATAAAATTCAAATCAAACCAAATAAATCTTTCTCGATTTGTTTTGGCTCAGTTTTTACATTTACAAAAATCTGCTAATAAATATTAAAAAAAATCAAAATACTTTTTAATGTACATAAAATGCTTAACTTTTTTTTTTGTTTATGAAGTCATCAGTAACCCTGTTTTACATTCACCAAATTTCATAAATGAGTATCTACAACATAAATAAACCAAATTTAAATCATAACTACAACATACATAAATTAATTAAAATATTTAATGAAGGTAAAACAACCATTCAATTTATTTACTAATAAATATTATCTACAATATATATATATATATATATATATATATATATATATTTACTTGCTAGTACATATTAAGTTAATTATTTACTACCGTCCACTCAAGACAAAATATACTTACATATAACTAAAGATTCAATTTAATTTATATCAATTTTACATTTTCAAATCACAAATCGAACCAAACTGCCTAATTTAAAAAATAAAAACCGAAAAAACTCTACTAATTTTCAGTTCCCCATCAATCTTTTTATTTTTTTTGAGTCAGTTTTCAATTTTTCCTTTTTGTAAGTTAAATTTTAACACTCCTACCTCCTGCAAAACCAAAACTGTTATAATTTGTACTCTTTCGTGCGTCATTGCCCTAATATCCTTATATTATATTTTACACAATTGTTAAAATTACTATCACAAAATTACTAATTTTACTATACATAACCATTAATGATTAAAAACTTGTATACTGTTTGTACATTCTAATTAAATTAAATCCATATCATAGTTTAATCTTTCGTGTGCAAGTTTTTTTTTTCATTTATTTAAAAAAATGCCTAAAGAATGGTGAACACTCGATTTCATTATACAATAATGCACGACCTCCACGACCAGGTAAAGTAACATATTCAAATTGAAATAATGCATGGTCAGAGACTTCCTAGCTCCAATAATTTTCCACACAGAACCCATCATTTTCAACATATTATTATTGGTGAGTTGTCCAAATCGTTCCATTTGTTATATTGTTAAAATCGGTAACTACAACTACAAGAAAAATGTGAAAATACCAAGAACAAAGGAGGAACCAAACTGAGCTTATTATGTGCAAACAAAGATTAAAAAAAAAAAAAAAGTAAATGGCACCTGCTTTTCATAGCACCCTATCACCGGGTCCATCCACTTCCAAGACTTTCTTCCTTTGTAGTTTTGTACAATTAGGAATAAAGTCACCATTTCCCCGGATAATTTTTTTTTTTTTTCTTTTTTCCCTTTCTAAAGCATCATCAGCAACAATTTTTTTAGTACTTCAAATTTGAATTCATTAGCTTTTCTTACTTTATGGCCCACGTGGCACACTCTGGAGCCACACTCTGGAGCCAATCGTTACCGGCATGCTGACATGGTGGGTCCCCGGGAATAGCATCTGCCCTACATGTTCTTCACTCATTCACCTTCTCAACCACCTTAGGATCCTCCATGTTCTTCACAGATGATAGGTCTACTGACCCAAATGTAGTGGTTAATTCGTCTATATGCTGTCAAATGAAATCAAAGTTTAAGAGCCATGCACCATCAATTGGTATAAAAAAAAGTTATAAAAAAGTGATTCACTAACAATGTCATCTAATTACAAACTACTATTTATCGTAAGTTGTTGACTTTTTATGCATAGATGATGTAAAGTAAAAAAGTCACACATACTAATGTTGAGATCTAATTAGTTGACAGGGTAAAATTACTTTACATTATTAGTGTATGACTATTAAATTCTATAGTCAACCAATCAAAAATTATCATTGAAGTAACTTTTAAAGTAATTATTATAAAAGTCAACAATCTTATTCATGATAATTTGTCATCAGATGATAGTTCAGGTGCATGTATTATTTAAAGTATAAACAATGAGCAAGGAGAGCAAAGCATCCCAAAGGAATATGATGACACACAAAAATTAAAGAACTGAGAATAGAAAATTAAACAATGTTCCACCCTTAGTTTATGGAATTTCCCTGCACCATATTATTCTGTAAAGCTTTAGAATTTTTATATCAACTAGGCATTTGTCAGATACAGCAAAAGAATTCCTACTCCAAGCACAATTATGCCAATGTGGTCCCACAATCACATGCGCTCATCAAGAGTTCCCATTGTCAATCATATCAAAAAGTAAAAGTGGGAATCATTGGGAACTATATTTAGTAAAACCTTGGAATAATAAGGTGGAAATGTAAAAGCAAACCTGTATATTGGTATGTGACATAGATTGCCTTGTTTTTTTCTCCAGCATGACCTTCTGGCGGCTTTCGTAAAAATCAAAGTCATCCAATATGGAAGTTCTTGACACATAGTTCTTGAAAATGTTGAGCATTTCAACACCTTGGGGAAAACTCACCTGAAATTTGAACCATAAATGACATGAGTAAGCATACAAAAGAAACATCTGAGCCTGATTAGATACAAGCTTAGAAGTACTTTTGAGAGTTTTTCTACTGGATAAAATTCTTTATTTTCGATGAAGCTTTCAAAAGTTCTTATAAGTTTGTATCCAAACAAGCTCCAAGACTTCTTCAGTAGATTATTGCTTTATATGAAATGCAAAATGCAAACCTCTTGTGTATCTCTACTATTTGTCACAGGCTTGTGATCATTATTCTCAAGTATTATGTGCCGTAGTTGAGGATTTGGAACATCTTTTATAATGTGCCATTTGACAGGGAAATATCCATTCCATTTATCTTGCTGCCAGAAATCCATACTTTTGTTGAAATCAACTCGCCCGGTCATCTCAGCTACTCCGCAAAATTGGCCACTGGCATTGACCTGAGCAATATACAATTACCAGAAAGGATATTGAGAGACACAGTTAACAATCTCATAATGCAAAGAAAATATAGCATGGATGCATGGAATGTGAAGTTTTTGAGATGGAACCAAATAGCATACCGAAAAGAAAAGGAACACGGGGCACTTGCTTCCTCTCTCTTCCATTCGCTTCTGTGCATCCTGAAATGCACCATCCAACCTCTTATTCCCATTAGGAGTACTCGCCCACACATCGTACTTGATGCTCTTGTGGATGTCATCTTCGCTGTATGATTTGATGACAAAGAAAAGAGCATGATCATATTTGGTTGGAAAATCAGGAAGGTTGTATTGATCTGTCCTGATTTTGCTGGCAACATTTCCACTCCCACCTACGGCCAAGTTCCTCACAGAGTTACCTCCAGATATTAATGCACCCTTTGCATTAGTTGTTCTAGGACCTTGATTCTGCTCGTTAAGTGAATCGTTGACCTTGTTTCTCTGTTTCAACTTTTCAGTACTAACCCAGCCCTTTGTATTTTCTTTCACATTAAGCAAGTTATTTGGATAGATGAATCCACTCTT